CACTCATTATCCATCGCTCACAGAAGCACCATACTTTCTCCATCAAACACTGACTTTTTAGAAAAAAAAGGGAGAATCCATGAGTGTGAAATGAGGTCAGCGATCGCATCTCTGATGGAAAATCACCTACACCATCCACTAGACCACCAACACACACACATACAGGCAGAGAGTACGTWCACTTCCTTCCCAATACTTGCTGCCTCTTCAAAAACAGACACGCACGTGTTGCTAAATGGTTGCCATGACAACTCTGGATGGRGAGAGTCTGTATATGAAAGTGCAATCGAGTAAAGTCATTTAGGCCRCGTGGAGAAAGTAATTTTGTCGCRGAAATGTTCACTTTATAGACCATTTCAGGACTGTGAGCTTCCAAATAAGCCTGTGGCGAGTCCTAATGCTGTGAGGTTACTGCAACTCCGACTAAACCGTCCCCCTCCCAACTAAAATCACAAAAAACACTTATCATTATCATCGTGGATCACCTCCAGTTTAATTCTTACCTTAACAACTGCAATTGATTCATCTTGTTTACTAAGCACTCATGCATGTTTTAAACTCAAGACAGGTAAAGGCAATTCAAAAAGTAGGTGGAAGACTGAATAATCAAAAAATTWAATTTATGACACTTAAAAGTAAATTTACAATGTTTTAATAAAAAAATAAAACACTTGTTGCCAACAGTAAGTTATTGGAGAATARCAGCTCAGATTTCCAGGCTGTGATTTTCAGTAAAGTCCCATCAAACTGGTTAATAATCCAACTTACACTCTTCCATTACAAAATACTTGGATCACAGCAAATTAGTCAAATCTTWAGTATGAAGGAAAACAATGACACTGCTATACACCGACTCACTAAATTTTTTTTCTGCATCTTTGAATGCTCTTTGTCACCTTCACCTCACTCTAAATCAGCAGCACATTCTCATGACACTACTACATTCGCCCACGCCTGCACTACTATGCTTCAGGCCCGGCCACAACTCTCTTCTGTTTATGTATGGGGGGTAGCAGGGGTCTCTGGGCCGTCACCATCAGGAGTAAGAAACATAAATCAGCAGCATGAGAGGATGCAGGTGAATGAGTTTTTGTGAAGAACATCGACCACATCATCCATCTTCTTTTCTTATCTAGTAGTTCTGACCATTATGAGAACAAGTGCTTCCTGTTTCAGCACTTGGCCTCAAAAGGCAAATAAAGAGCAGTTGAAACATGGCGTCGTATTGACTGGTGCTTAGATTGATCGTTGCAATTAGTTATACATGGTACAAACCTAGTGGTTGTGGGGAGAGCAATGGCAGGATATGAATAACAGCTGAGCTGAGCCATCAACAGGGTTGAAACTAGACACTGCATAGAGGTCGACTATATGACCCCCACACAWACGCAAAGCACAGATTTATTGATCAGAACAGATTTATTGTTATGGTTGYGGGGCTCATTGGTGGGCCTGATAGATGGCCCTTTATCAGAGTTTAAAAAAATAAAAATCTGAAGCTCCTATGTTGAAGTTTTTGAGGAACATTTGAACTTTTTTTTATGTTCAGACACCCCCTTTTCAGATTAT